ATATGTATATATATATGTATATGTATATGTATATGTATGTATGAATATATATATATCTATCTATCTATATATATTATACATGTATAGATATATATATCTATTATCTGTGTGTGTACGTGTGTGTGCCTGTGCCTGTGTGCCTGTGCCTGTGCGTGTCTGTGTCTGTGACTGTGTCTGTGTGTCTGTGTCTGTGTATGTATATATACATATAGTATTTTATGCAAATATACGTGAGCATGGGGTGTACACTCACACATCCCCACCCTACACTTCTATACACTCACACGCACCCTTGCGTATTCATGCTCCCTCTAACACTCACACATGCATACACATTAAACCCTAAACCCTGCAGCCACACATCGACCCGAAATTCGGAGCAGGGGAGCCTCCCGTGACAGTGTGCGGAATGACATCGCAAGTGTCACCACCCAATCAGATACGGAGCTGGTGGATTTGCGCGCGCAACAAACGGCCGAGACGGTCAGTCATGATCTGCATGCGTCATCGATGAGCCATGGTTCGTCGTCCGGTACCCTGAATTCCGGTCTGTCTTCGGTGTCGGCATCGAGATTGGATTCTGCGGTTCTGTCCAAAACGCCCTCCGAATCGGGATTGGATTCTTCTGTTTTGGCCAAAACGCAATCAGAACCGGGGTTGGATTCTGCGGCTTTGTCCAAAACACGCTCAGAATCGGGATTGGATGTGTCTGCGGAATCAAGGAAGAATGATGATTCGATGTTCAAGAAACCTTTGGAGTTAAGCAAAGCGGCACAGAGCACGTCCAATACCACCACCCCAGCTCCGCCCGTTGCCATGGAAACGCCCGAGCCACCAGCACCACCCGTTGCCATAGTAACACCACACTCACCTACCATACCCACGAAGGTGGAGGATACACTTACACCTGCACAACTGCCCACGGAATCTCAGGCACAACGACCTACACACACACCTACACACACACAATCATCAACAGAGTATCGCCACAGAAAAAAATCACTCGCACGCCATCGCGCACGCGCACAATCTATTGCTGCAGTGGTCGAAAGAGAGGAGCCTTCCAAAGACAGTCTAGAAGTGAATAGTATGTCCAGTGGATATTTATATGTACCCATGCGTTATGTACGAATCTAGATAGGATGCTCATGAATATTATATATATATATATATATATATATATAATCGAGTTTCTGGAGAGAGAAGAGTGGTTTTATTCAAAGTATTACTCGTGAGTATCGGATATGAATGGTGTGGAGATGTAGCGTGTCTATTTACAAATGTATGTGTATATAGATTTGTTTATATGTATATGTTGCTTTATTTATGTATGTAACTGTTGGTTTATCCATGAAAATGTTGGTTTATTCATGTATGTATGTGTTCGTTTATTCATATATGTATGTGTTGATTTCTTTATGGATGTAATTGTTGGTTTATTCATGTATGTACCCCATCAACTGACTGATGTGTGCGTGTATGTGAGGATGTATTTGTTTTATTCATTCTACTCTAATATACCAATAGTTCCTGCTGGCAATCGTATTCAGCCCAGACTCGACTCTAGGTGTTGGTGCCATTTTCTCTCACGAGTACTCTCTAGTCATTCTATTTATAGTTCGTTTTCTGATTGGTCCGGCTGTAGGTAAGGAGATCGTGCACTGGACATCGCAGCCAAGTCTGGTCGCACTTTTCCCGACCATCAAAGTTGCCGGTGATACCGATTCTGATTCCAATACTGAGGCACCTTTTGGGCCCCAAAAAATCGGGTCGGACCATAAATACGCACCCGTTTTAGCGGGAACAGGGCCGCGCGAGTCCAATACTAACAGGCGTGTGGCCCAAACACAATCTCTGGGGCCTACAAGTCACAGGTCAAATCACACACCCTCACCACACAGCGAATCCGTAGGAGATATCCTGACGTCACCGCTAGATTCACTTCTGAATACCAGAGTAGATCTGCAGCAAAGGTATGTGCGGGTTGTGGTTTGCGGTTTGAGAGTGTGTTGGGAGTGAGACTCCGCAGAAAGAGTTGTGTATGTATACCTTGGGAATGGCACACGTACACCAGACGTGTGTTTGAGTTGTTTATATATCCGTATATTCATATATGCGCACCTTCTGTCAATCACAGACAGAGAATGTTCACAGCCCCGGGCACACCCCCTGTCGCCCGAGGGCGTGCCTCTCCTCGATGCAAACCAGGAATTCTGACTCAGGCAGACTCAGATGCCATGTCAGAGCACTCGGGAAATGAAGGTATGCTTATCCTCGCAATATCGGCATGTGTGTGTAATGTAAGAGATATATAAACGTGTGGGTCTATGTCTGTGTCTGTGTGTCTGTGGGCCTGTGTCTTTGTCTGTCTGTGTGTCTGTGTGCATGTGTGTCTGTATGTCTGTATCTATATATATATATATATACATAAGCTAATTCTGTCCCATTCACCCACCCACTCCGTATCTATAGATGGCCGCAGGAGCCCGCGCTCGCGTAGTCCGCACCCCATGAACACTGAAGCCACCTTGTCCGCCGATAGTAATGCCAATTTAATGGCCACTAATTTGTCATTAGTTCGGTCTGGTCCTGGTAGGCCCCGGTCGAGGTCTTCCCTTAGCAGTAGTTCGTTCTTCAAGAGTGCGCATGAACCCAAAACTTCGGACAGTGAACAAAAGAGCCGGTCCGGGTCCAAAATTAGGGACACCAGGTGCGTGCAGAGGTGTCCCAAAAAAAAAGGATAGGGCTGAGAATGGCCTCGTTGTGTATAGTGTTGTTCTTCTTGCGATCGACTTTGCCTTGTTTGGAAACGGGGTTGTGTTCTATGCTATCCACACATCTATAATTCTCTAATGTTGTCAAATTACTCTACATTTCATCTAAATATATACTTACATACACATACCTGCATCTGTAATTTTTGTACCTGATGCTTACACACACATCTATATCTTTATTTTTTGTACCTGATCTGTCCAATGTCTTTATCTTATGTTAATGACTTCTTCAGGTCACCTACATCTAGTAAGAAGGCGTTGAAGAATAACGCGCGCTCGCCCCGGCGCAAGTCAGCCACTCGGCACAGCCACAGTGGACTAACTCATGGAACAGCAATTGCGCAGGAAGGTACGCAGAGTGTGTTATCATGAGTTGTAGCGAGTGTGTGTCATGAGTATATGTTAAATATAGAAGGTATGAATAGAGTGTTATTACCAATTGTATCGTGTGTGTGTTATTAGTATATATTAAATATAGAAGGTACACAGAGTGTGTTATCATTAATTGTAGCGAGTGTGTGTCATGAGTGTATATTTAATATAGAAGGTATTAATAATGTGTTACCATCAATTGAAATGTAGGTGTTATTAGTATAGATTAAACATAAAAGGTATGAATAGTATGTTATCATCAACTGTAGCGAGTGTGTGTTATTAGTATATATTAAATATAGAAGGTATTAATACTGTGCTATCATCAATTGTAACGTATGTGTGTTATTAGTATATATTATACATAGAAGGTACGCAAAGTGTGTTATGATCAATTGTAGCGAGTGTGTGTCATGAGTATATATGAAATATAGAAGGTATGAATAGTGTGTTATCATCAATTGTAATGTAGGTGTGTGTTATTAGTATAGATTAAACATAGAAGGTATGAATAGTGTGTTATCATCAAATGTAATTTATGTGTGTAGTTGGTATATCTAAACACTCACGCATGCGACGTAGAAGCATGTAGTACGTGATGTAATTTTACACACGCTGTAATATAAAATTAACCCAGACGACCTTAAAAGACATACAATCATATTTAATCACACGCATTAATATAATAAAGACACTCTCACCCAGACGACCTTAAAATGTACACACATATTGCACATGATATAATTTAACACACGCATTAATATATTAAAAAACACTCATACAGGCGACCGTCGGCAATCGGGCGATGAGTCATACGGCAGCACCAAATCCCCCGCCAAAACACGGTCCTCAGCCAAAAAAGGCAACGACAGTGGCGACAAATCCTCGGGCCCTTATCACCCCAAAGATACCTATCCCACCACCACTACTACTACGACTACCACTCAAACACAAACCCAAACAGAACCACAAACATTCACACGCGCAGAAGCCAATGCACGCGACAAAGCAGTACTACGCAGAGGAAGTGCGCCTGAGGCAGGCAATGCCACAGCACCCAAACGGGACAGTGCCGAACGGGTGCGGGCTATATCACACTCAACTAATGTAGGTGGTTTGTGTGGTAGTGTTCTGTGATGGTTTATGTTGTGTGTTTATGTAAGTGGTTTATGTGATGTGTATGTACGTATGTAT